CTATCAGTTTTTTAAGTTGAAATGGTTAGTTTGATATATTTTTTGATCAGGAATGGTAGAATACAACGCCTTACACATTTTTTTAACACACTATAAGTTATTAATTAAAATTTATTAAAAATCATAAAAATATTAGAAAGAAACATTAAATTAGAAAAGAAAAAGATTGTGATCTACATAATTTTACACTTCTTAAATAAATTTTTACTAATAACTAAAAAGTGTATTAAATAATATTTTGTTAGCATTTCTCTTTTTTAACACAAGTTTTAGGTTTGAAATACATGATGTATTTTAAAAAATAAAATTTAAATACTAACTAAAATTTTCAACTGTATGATATATTATTATTCACGTGTCTATATTTTAAAAATTAAATTTTTTTATTTAATTATAATGATTATTCGAAGAACATTTTTTTTTATTATCTATATGTCTATTTTGAACCAATTTTTTTTTAAATGTAACTAGCTACCCGATCAGTTTTTAAGTGTAAATGAAGCTAAATACCTATCAAATAACTACCTTATCTTGTTATAGATTAGCATTATTCAATTATTTTGAACTTATTATTATTATTTTTATTATTTTACAATTTTGAACTATTTGTTGGATTGTAAAATAATATTAACTCTGGACAATTATTATATTATATTAATCATAATGCATAACAAACTTATAAATGATTATTAGGATTTTAGATGGATAATTAGTTATGGGTTTAGGCTTTAGGATAATTAGTTAACTATTTCTATGAATGCTAGTCGAGTGCTCTTTGTTTTCATCTAATATAGTTTTCTAGTTGCTCCATTAAATAAGATTTGTTTATGCATATCAGGTAAAGGGTAGTTAACTTTGAACACTATGCAAATCGATTATTAAGATATAATCCTTCTTCTGGATATGTAGCTCTAGTATTGATTCAATTATTGGTAAGTGAAAGTACATGATATAACATGTATCTACATGACTTAATTGTTCTAGGCGTGTTAAAATTCCTTCAATTAATATCAGAGTCAAGGTAGATATATGTTATAGCTTTTCTGTTTCCCCTTTAATAGGATCAAATTTGAAAGTATGAACCCTAATTTTGATTATATTGATCAATTAAAGTACATGATATAACATGTATCTACATGACTTAATTGTTCTAGTTATGTTGTTAAAATTTCCTTCAATTAATATCATAGTCAAGGTAGATATACGTTATAGCTGTTTTGTTTCCCCTTTATTAGGAACAAATTTGAAAAGCATGAACCCTAATTTACATTATTCAAATTCTACGATTCATAATTTCAATTCATGCAATTGTGGCTAAATTGGGCGGGAAAAATTAGATTCTTTGCTCCATTGATTATCTGTGATGATGGATTGATTACAAATGAACTGATGTCGTGGCTCACAGCCATCACTTTCTCTATTCACAAATCTTCTCACTAATACTTGCATTTGAATTGATTTCACAACTCATAGAGTCATAGGCCTCAGCCATCTCTTTGTCTTGCACATTGGAACGTGTGATGACCGGCAGATCAATGCATACTACATTTTTAAAATGATTTAGAATAAAATATAATACAATAAGATATAATTCATTCTATTTCGTTCGATATTTTTTTTCCCCTAATTTGAAACATTACTAAGGTATTATTATATTTTTGTATATTTTTATATAAAAATGTTTAAATAATAACTTTTTCCTACCATATTTTATTTTATTCACCAATAAATATTGAAATTTGAATTAAAATTGTACCCGACCTTCTTGTTGCCTATTCACTGCTTGTATCGCTCCTTTTCAAATGGTTATTTGTCATGTTTTGAAGTTGATGGTCTATGCCTTTCTATGCCTCTTGGTGGCAATTATTCAAAGAGAATGTATAATTTTATGCTTGAAAGTGGAGACACGGTATTTTTTTATCCTTAAAAGTTTATGTGTAAACAATTTTTGTTTTTGAATTCGTCAATTTTATGATAAATTGTTATTTTTTATTGTGAAGGCGAATAAACTTAGAGGACTGATTGTCAAGAAGTTGATTGGTTTGGAGATTAAGTTCACAAGATAAGATTAACTTAACAAATTTTTTTTGCTAATATTAACTTAACAAATTTAGAGATTAAATGTTGATTTGCATATAAATTTTCAAGAATCAAAGTAAAACAAATTGTTACTTTTAAGAATAAAATTGTAAAACTACTCATTATTTAAATGCAAAACTCAGTTAGATAATTTACTATTACAATTACTTATAATATCTCACGTTATATAATTGTCATTTTTATTTAAGTAATTTTTTTAAAAAATATCATTAATATTAATTATTGCAGTGATAAGATAGAAAAATAATATTTTTAAAAATCACTTAAATAAAAATAACAATCGACATTCACCGTATTTTGAAAAATGACATTAATTTAAAAAATTTAAAAGCAAAAGAAATTCACACTAATCTCATCCTATATAGTGTCACCTCTCAAATGATAACGCTTTCTCTATCCATAGTGGCTTCATTTTCATACTTTAGTAAATTAGAAATCTAATTAAAAGAAAAATGGGTTACAAGTGAAATGTCTCTAAACTAACAGTTGATATCTATGTTAAAAAGTATATACTGTGTACTGACTAGAGAGGGAAAAAAGAAGTTAAAGTAAAAAAAAAACACTTATTTTTAAAAGAAAGAAAAAAAACTTAGTATCGAATTATTTTTATTTCTGATTTACACACATAATTATTTCTTCTTTTTTTTTCAACTGCACCTTAAATATGAAATGGAAAATAACGGTGTTAAATGGTTAGAGAAAGAGAGAGTAAAAATAATAATAATAAATGGTGTGATATGAAAAAAAAATAACATAAGAAAAAAAATTTAAATATTTAAGTCATCAACTGTACCGTTTAATTTTTTTATATTATTTTTTATTAATATCATTAAATATATAAATTATTAATTATATTATTTAATATTATAGATATTTTTTATATATAATTTATATTTATAAAAATTAACTGATTTAATTTTTTTAGTAATATATTATTTTATTTCTTATAAAAAAAATACGGTACGGGTATAAATTTGTACAAGAAATGCATTGTTACACCCTTAAGAATTTGAAAACTAATGATGAAGAACAACAGTTGGCTGTACCGTGAATTCCACGTAATTACTCTCCATTGGGACATCTATTACGAGTCTATGATTGCATCTTATCTTTATATGATTTCACCTTTCTATCACCAAAGGGACAATGAGGAGCGCATAGGCTTCCAACCTTAATTAGCTTCAGTGTCTGCAATGCTTTATTTCTTATCATTCCATTGCATGACAAATACACAGACGTGCTGTCTCACTTTGATGGTTCTGGTTTGCCACATTTTTATCGTGACACCTTCGCTTTGCCAATGATATATATAGATAAACATTGCAGATATGTTTTAAGATGATGGGACCCAAAAGCCTGAAATTTCGAACAGATAAAATAACATGGAGTGAGGGGGGAAAAGGAACAACGAAAGAGATGGAAGAAAAAAAATACGGAATCGCAAGAAACCACACAAATTGTGGGAGACAGATACTGCTACCGAATATGTGGATCTATGAAATTGTTTTTAAGTTTTTGAGAATCCCATTATGTTAAAAAATTATTTTATTCGACTCATATAAAATTATTTTATAAAACAAATAATGATAGTATAGACAATTGAAAAAATTGTGAGAGATAATAGAGGCTACCAAAGTGAGTGGTTGATCACTAGTCGTATCACTCTTTAAGGTGCTTTATTACGAGTTACAATTGTAAGGGAAAATGGGACCCTCAAGTAATTGTAATTGAAGCTTCCTTTGTTTGCTAGCTTGTGCTGGAGACAGACTAAGCGAGCTTTTCAATCAAAGCGCTATTAAAGTGTACAAAATAAGCCACTTTTACTTAGTGGCCTGCTTTGAACTTGCACCTTTCAATGTAGGAATTCCCAAGGGAAAATAAATTGAAAGAAATCAAGCAACCAACCCTTTCTTACGGATGCATGCACAATTCGACAAACAACTTGTTTGTCCAATACATGCCCAGATTGGTAAAATTGGTACACGAGGTGTCTTAAACTTAAAGGACAATTCGTTCATCAGTGAGGTTACATCATGCATTTGTCTAATTGTACGAACAAATCTTGGGTTCTTTTTTGTGATTTTGTGTGCAAATGTTTTTTTTTTCCAGACCCCTTTCTCTTCTTCTTCATCATGCATGGAAAAGACTAAAACTTTGGTTGGCACAATATACAATCGTCCAGCAACTCAAGTGATGAAGCTCAATTCAACCAAATTGAAATTCAACGTGGAAGTCATTAATAAAGTATATCATCTTGAATATATAAAGGTTGTTGACGAAGCATTTATTTGTGGGACATGTTCAAGTTAAGATTTAAAAGACAGAAGCATTTTTATTTTTAGCTGAAATTTCTAGCGAAGTTCTCTTAGTCTTGAGAGGTGAATAATGAAAATACTGATTCAACCCTTAATCTTGTGAAGTTAAATTTCAAGATAAGTACTATATTGGGATCTGGACTACAATCCACAAAGAGAGCCCAACCCCAACTAGTTATAATTACCCTCAGAACAGACAAAAAACTTTATGGTTTCACATAGAAGAATAAGATACTGGTCGTCCATCCACTACATCAATTACTGTTACTAGGTCAAGCGATTCCAAAGTTCCAATAGTGCTTCTCAAGTCCATTTGCAATGCACTATTTCATTTCTGGTTCAAATTCTTAGTCAGCACGGATACTCATTAAGATAAGCCTGTTGGCCTTGGGCTAAGCCACCCCCCTTGCTTTTTCATTTCGGCTCATCCCTTTTCCCCCTCTTAAACTTGAGATTCTCTCTACCAAGTCTAGTAAGATTTATTAGGGAGAAAAAAAATTCTTGTTGAAATGACAGGCGGATACGGCCAAAATCGATTTTCATCTGACCCCATTAAAGGTTATTGCATATCACACCAATCACCATAAAGATAAGAAGAAAATCGCCCATTAAGTAAACAGTAGCTGAAAATGGGAAATAAAAAGCTCACATAGCCAGGCACAACCACTAAATGGTTTCTATTGTGCTTATGGAAAATTACTACTTTGCTGGCTGGCCTATGGCCACCAACCATGTTGCTCAATGCAACTCTGCACCAAACAGTGATCAATCTCCTTTTTCAGTCCCAACAAAAATACTCCCTCTTGCTTCTGACCCTGCCTCTCTTCAATTTGGTGAGTTCCCTTCATGGCCTACCCCCATTGAAGGGGCTGCAGAAGATAGACCTGCAAGTGCTTCCAAGAGCCACAGCCAAGCAGAGAAAAGGCGCAGGGACAGGATCAATGCACAACTTGCAACTCTCAGAAAACTGATTCCAAAATCTGATAAGGTAAAAAAACAACCAACAAAAACAAAAAAAAAACCATGATATGTCTTTGTTAATGAGTGGCGTAATGGTAGAGTGGTCTTGCTTTCATCATCTACGGAATTATTTACCTACTCAGTGCTTCTTGTTTCAATTCGTGTTAAAATAAAATAATTGGCATAGTTACTCCCGTAAAGTATACTATTTTAAGCTTGGATACTATTCTATACAACAAGTAAGAAAAGTGAAATTAGTGAATTACCCACTAAAAGTGATATGTTATATAGGGTATCATATCATTAAGTTAGATTGTTTCAGATTCGATTCATTGTAAATTATTGGCATTTCGATGTCTTTTTTATCATGGATATACAGCATAGTCACTTTCAATTATACTATGAGTATAGCTTTAATAGGTTGTATGATAGGTCATATAGATCTCAATTCCACTAACTTCCACATCTTTAGTAGAGAGAAACTATAATTGGTAAATTTATGTGGTTGCAGATGGACAAGGCAGCTTTACTAGGGAGTGTGGTAGACCATGTGAAAGATCTAAAGCGAAAAGCCGAGGATGTCAGCAAAGCCATTACTGTTCCAACTGAAATTGATGAAGTAACAATTGACTATCACCCAGCTCAAGATGAAAGCTACACTACAGTAAACATATTAAAGGAAAACATAGTCATTAAAGCTTCTGTTTGCTGTGATGATAGACCAGAACTGTTTCCTGAGCTTGTTCAAGTCCTCAAAGGCTTGAGACTCACAGCAGTTAAAGCTGACATAGCAAGTGTGGGTGGAAGAATCAAAAGCATATTGGTACTTTGCTCTAAGGATAGGGAAGAGGGTAGTGTTTGCCTTAGCACTCTCAAACAATCCCTTAAATCAGCAGTGAACAAAATTGCTTCCTTATCCGTGGCAACAAATTGTCCCACTAGAAGCAAGAGGCAGAGGTTCTTCTTGCCATCTCATTATGTACAATAATTTATTGCAAAATCTTTTTTCTTTTCTTCTTATTAGGAGGGTCATGTCAGTAGGTGATATAATTCGTTTTCATTTTTCAACATTTGTTTACTTATCAGACATAAGCATAAGCGTTGGTTTTGTGCCTCCAATTATATATGGTTTCGTTACACGGTGAAGCATATTCAAAGGACTCCAGTTATGACCATTTGTTATGTTACTCTAAAAATTGAGACATAGCTTTGCAAAATCATTTTTGTGTCGAGTTTGTCAGTATCCGTCCTGAGAGTTGATTTTAAACACACATAAATATTAATTTTTTAATTACAAATGAAATGATTCATTTTTATATGTTTTATATAATAAACATTTGTTTTTTAATAAATTTTATCACTTTTATATGTTTAAAATAACCAATCCTAAATTTTAAAGATTTGGTCGAGGGAAGTGGTCGAATGAAGTAAGATAAGGTATTTGTATCTTTATGGAAGTGCTTTCTAAATTCAATGATTTTTTATGCCTTACAATTTGGCACTATCTGTTTTTTTTTTTTTTTCTCTTTTAATTTGGGTAAAAAAATATAATTATAAAAAGACATGTATACTTGATTTATAACATGTATTTTTTATTGGAGGCAATCAAGCCGAATAGAACTATTGCAGGTGATAAAATTCTCCCTCTTCAAGTATATATATAGTAAATGATTTAGATGAGAACATTTAATTATTATAAATGATGAAAATAAATCGTTAAATTTTATTCAAATAGTTAAGATTAAAATAAAATTACACATGACTTATTCAATTCATCACACGATCACTACCAACTTGAATCTTACCTTTAAAGAGAGTTGTTGTCTATATTTAATGTTCTCGTAATCTTATAAAGAGAATTGTTGTCATTATATACGTTCCCTAATTGAGCGTCGTTACCATTCGCAGCACAGATTTGTCGGCATCGTGGTTGCCGGCTGTATACTGAGAATTCATGGATTGAGTAGTTGTGTTCAAATTACTTACAGATGAGATGCTCAAATTTGCACTGTTCGCAACATTACAACCTAAACGGGGTCAATTGATCTTTAAACATCCTACTAACTTTTCAAAACTGAAGAATCTATTGATCATAACTAAGTTCCTATTGTTCTGAGGCGGTACTTACACCCTCCATGCCAGATTGCAAAGTTGTAATGGAGAGAGAGTGTTGGAGCACATCTGCAACTGTAAGCCAATGACATTGGAACACATCTGCAAGGACAAAAGGAGAAGACTCAAGCAGAAAGGTTTTTTCACTTGCTATCCGCACAGATAAAATCTTGGGAGATGATTTTGCAAAAGTAGATTCCCAAGAAGAACTGCGAAATTTTCTCTGTCGTTCATGTTCAAAGTATAATTTAATTGATCACGGATAGAACAGTGTTGTCTTCAGACTAGAAAGATAGCAATTTAATAACAATCAATTTTGAGAGGGCAAACTACAAAACCAACATTAAGTTCAATCAATTTAATAACCTCCTAGAGTATTATATTATTTTTTCAGTATAGTTAGGGAACTCCATACTCTGTTTCTAGAAAGTAAGTTTGGCCTATTATATATATGAAAAAAATGGGCAAAGTATTTATCTATGAATTCTGGTACTATTAAAATTAAATTAAATACAAAGAGAATGTAAAACCTCATATACTTAAAAATAAAATAAAATAACATTTTTAAGAATCAAAACTCTTAAGAAATCACCAAAAAATGCAAGGTAAAAACAATTTTAAGTTTGAAAAAGTACCATTGACCTAAGTGGCATATGAGGGCTGGTAACCTTATTCCAAATCCAGCGATAATGACTTCCCTTCTTTACCTTTGAGTTTTTACTTAATTTTTTTTTTAATATCACATATATAATTTATTTTTTTTATATCATCGAACTAGTTAGTGTTTTTAAATGAACATTTTTAAAAAAAAATAAGAACAAAACCTTTTCTTAAGATAGTTATTAAGAATGACATTTAAAAATTATAAAATTTAATTATAATCATATAATATTATATAGAAAAAATGATAATATAATAAAAATAGTTTAATTAATTAATTTTTTTATATACTTTAGATTTAGTTTCTATAAAATATTTTGTTAAAATATAATTTTTAATTTTTTACAAATTATTATTTTTAATGGTAAAGTTCAATCAAAAGTATATCAATAGACTATGTAAATTAGAAACATTAAAGATAATACTTTGTGAAAAAGTATGAATTATATTCTAACAAAATATTTTATAGAAATTAACTTTAAATTATATAATTTTTTAGGAGTCAAAAATTTAATTAAAATGAAAAAATTTAAATAAGAGAAGATGTTTTTTTATATTTTTTCTTTACTATTTTACTTCATTTAAAAATTATTTTTATACTCTGATTTTCTTTTATTTAAGTTATTTTTCTGATTTTTCCCCCTTATTTTACACTTTATTTAAAGAAAATATCAGGTAACTAAAAAAATAAAGTTTAACTTTCTAATCTCTCATATATCTTAATCTTACTAAAAAAAAAAGATAAACAAATATAAAAGTAAGAGCGGTGACTAAAGTAAGTTAGTATATTATGATTCATAAATAACTTACTATAATAGATTTTAAAAGTTATAATATTTATATTTTAATTCTTAATAAATTTTGTAATATAAAAATATCAAATATCGTATATTTAAAATAGATCATTTAAATTTTTTTTTTAATTAACATGTATTAGTTTGAGTAACAAACGACTTAGTATCATTTAAATAAAGTTTGGTCGAATTTGAATTTAAAAAAAAGTATTTTTTGAAAGTAAATATCTTTTAAAAACATAATTCAAGTATTTATTTTGTATTTCTAACAACTAATTGATAGATTCATTGTGTGATTGAAATTTAAGGTTAAAAGTTTAAAAGAAATATATAAGATAAGAGATTGAGTGGAATCAAATAATTCTCAATTGAAATAGTATCATATAAACTTTGTTCAATTAATATTTATACTACTTCAATTCTTGTTTTACAAATCTAACAACCTCTAAATAATTATATTATCTTTGCATTATCATACTTTAAATTGTGATTTTTGTAAGTGAAATTAATTAAATTTGAAAACATTATATGTTCATCTCAATTTTCTTAACAACGAACAACTTGACTAAATAAAAATAGGGATAATGACTAAAAAAATGTGGTTGAATACTAAAATATACAAAAAAATTATTTTTTATAAATTTTGCTTGAGTCATACAATATTTTCTTGAATTTTGTTAATCTAAGTCTTTAAGATTGAGTTTAAGCATTTATAAATATAAAATTTTATGAAAAAAATATACAGTTATTGTATTGAAATTATAAAAAATACAATAAATATTTCTCTTACTAATAAAATTTTATTATTATTAACTGTTTATCCTTAGCCTGAAGGGCTAATATTAATAAAATTTCATTTTCTTAAGCTAATTTTCTACAATGATGAGCATACAAAATTATTAATTTTCACTTAAGTCATTATTTTTTGCATAAGTTAAAATTATAGAAATCTTATATTTATATATTTTATTTAAGTCAGATAAATTTTGTTTAAGTTAATAATATTTTTGTTTAAATGAATTCATTATCACTAAAGTAATATTCATCCTATGAGTTAATACTAAGTAGATACAACTAGAGTATGAAAAAATTTAAAATGGGATTGAATAATCTATTAATACAAAAGTTAATTTTTACAATAAATTAAAACTGTGAGAGTAAATATGAAAATTTTAATTCTACAAGTCATAGACTACGTATCAAAGAGTTTATTAAAAATTTTAAATATTTAAAATGATATTTGATATTCTATTAATTTAAAAAAATTATAAATTAAAACTAAATTATTATATGTAAAAGTTTTAACTGTTAAAATCATTATTAGAAATAAAAAAAAAAGATATTATCAACGATCCATGCATAAATCTTATCATTACCTTCTCATAGAATTTAAATTATCTTGAAAAGAAGAGGATAAGAAACTGGCGTTAATTTATAATTAATCTAGTTATTTAAAATTTGAAAACTCCTGTAATATCGAGAATGCCATATTCGTGTCTAACTGTCATAACAACTTACAGTTACAAAAACTATTTCTTTATTGGATTTCAATTTATTCATCTAATTCCCTCTCTCCCATTCTGCAACTAAATGTCATCACACTTAAATAACCGATGGCCGTTACACCTTGATGTTTTCATTTTGACTTCCTATCAGTTAGTTGGCCTCCCTGGCTACGTCAAGATTATGATAATAAATAACAATTAATCTCAATTATACAACAAACAAACAAAAGTCAAAAATTACATTTATATCTGAATAATCCACCCTAACTGCCACACTCTTGAAAATCATGCTTATCTCACTAATTTTTTTTTAAAATAATAATAACTGTATTAGAAACATTAAGGAACAAATTAGTCAAAAATAAGCCACCTTCCATTCTAAAGTTTATATGAAAAAGCGTTATTTTGAATCAGTTAGACAAAAGTGGAAGTTATAACTTCCTCCATTATTAATATTCCAGTTTCTCTCTCACCCACTCCTTTCATAAACCCTCAAACCCACCTGTAAACTTCCACCTACCTAAGTCCAAACCGAACACACCCAAAAATCATCTCCAAACAAAATAAATAATAAATAAACAAAAACAAAGAAGTTAAAGAACAGAACAGAACCCGTTGGAACCAGAGATCCTTCCGACTGGTTATGTTCGGTTTTATTTTCAAGGTTCATCCCAATTGCCAACTGCACCCTCTCTTCTACGTTAGTTGTTTTTATTTATTTATTGATTGATTGATTTATATGTAAGCAGAAAACCGATCGAAAACAGATTCATTGATTTAGTTTTGCCTTTGTTCTCGCATTTTCACAGGGAACATTGATGGACGCCAACAGCAACTGTAACGGCGGCGGCTCTGACGGCAGCGATCGAGTTAAAGGTTCATGGAGTTCCCAGGAGGACGCCACGCTGTTGAAACTCGTGGACCAACACGGTCCACGCAACTGGTCCATCATAAGCAGCGGCATTCCCGGCCGTTCCGGCAAGTCTTGCCGTCTCCGGTGGTGCAACCAGCTCAGCCCTGAAGTGCAGCACCGTCCATTCACACCGTCAGAGGACAAAATCATCATCGACGCTCACGCCGTTCACGGCAACAAGTGGGCCACAATCTCGCGCCTCCTCCCTGGCCGCACCGACAACGCCATTAAAAACCACTGGAACTCCACCCTCCGCCGCCGTCGCATGGCCGAGCAATCCCCGACCTCGGTCTCCTCTGCGTCCTCGCCGGGGAAGCGGCCTTCATCGTTGGAACCAAATTATCCTTTAAAGAAGCCTTGCGTTGACGAAGTTTCGATGGAAACAGAGGACGAGAGAACAGAGGAATTTTCCCAATTAGCGAGTCCCGTAACGACGTCGTTAAGTCTTTTGCCTCCGGGCGAGAAAACAGAGAAAGATGAAGAAGAGTTTGAAGAGAATACGAAGACGGATGACCAGACTTACTTTATGGAAACGTTGCGGCGCATGATAGCAGACGAGGTTAGAAATCACGTGGAAAGTTTGCGCCGTGACAGGGAGAGTTTCTCCCATGGAACTGGGCTAGATCTTAATCCAAAGCTTCCAAAGTAATTTATTTTCTGTTTCTTGTTCAAAAGAAACATTTTCTCTTCTCCACTCTAACATTTCATATATTTGACACGATTTAATAATAGTTTATTATTTCCTGAGTTTGTACAATGTTAAATTTGGAATCCTCCTTTGGTACATTATTATTTTCATTCATTCTCTACAAAAAACTTTAATAAACAGATGAAAAGAATTAAATTGAGATTAGAACATGAACAGAAAAAATTAGGAATGCACCTGCATCGTTTAAGGGAGGTCTTCTTAGTAATAAGTAAATTTAGTATTATTAACAAAATTTTAACCAAAAAATTAGATGAACTACATAAGAACGTTACATGTGTAACTTTTTGATATGTTATACCCTTTAAATATGTAAAACACATTAAAGTATTTAATGGGACACATTACATCTTAATTCAAAGCACATATACTTCGCACACTAAAACTAAAATATGGCACACTAAAGTTAATATGTGACATATATGTGTTTTATGTCTGAATTGGAATTAAAAAATGTTAGTTTCTATGACATTTTAATTAATATTTAAAATTTAATTTTCCTATCACATTAACTAATGTTTGAATTTTAATTTTACTCCAAATAAATGCAACGCCTCATACAAAATTTGGTATGTTGCACTTAGATTCTTTCCCTTTAGAGTAACAATTGGATGTTCAAGCAAATCATACAAAAATGATAAAATGAAAAAGAATATCTATTCTTAGTTAACAGATTGGCTTAGAGAACTAAACTTTTCCATTTATTTACAAAAAAAATTATTAGAGTCCAAAAGTTGCAGTTTAGAAATAGTTTTATTACAAATGAACCAAAATAATTTAAATAAGGCTTATAAGGATCATGTGAAATAAGAAGAATAAAAATTGAGTATCTTGCATTTTAGTTCCTTCGTCTTTCATATCAAAAGTCCAGTTGACAAAAATAAAAACAAAGTTAAAATTTAATTGAAAGAAATGATATCGTTCTAAGAAATTTTAAAATGTTCTAATTATTCAAATATTATACCATATTTAATCCTAAGAACCCTAAAATTTACAGCATATCAGCGTAGCTTTTACTAAAAATATATTTTAAGTCGGTAAAATATCCCATTACCTTGTTAAAATTTATAAAAACTTCAAAGATGCAAACATTATTGAGCTGATTGATGCATTTTCGCATAAAGGGAATATACATCTTGTGTTTGAATCTATGGAGAAAGACCTTGAAGTTGTTATACGAGACTGAAATATTGTTTAACACGAATATGTGCCCAGATTGCAAGTTCACTCACAAGATTTGCTAGATATCTTGTGACGACGTTTCTACTAATTAAAATAGTTTTATCACGTCCATTTTCTGTTACTGTTTGTACACGTAACATTGATTAAAATACCAAAAGTATCCCAGGATTTTGAGAAAGAGAAGAAGTGAAATTACAACTTTCGAAACATGATGAGAGAGAAAATTAAAAAAGAGAATAAACAAAACTTCTGTTACCAATTTCTATTTGAAGTAATATTTTTAAGATGCAAATATTAAATTAAAGACATGAAATAAAAATATTTTTAAATTAATTACTATTATTATATCTGAATTTGTTTTAAGATATTCTAAAATATTATAACATATTTTTATTATTATATAATATTATCATTTTTTATTGATTTAATTTAAACTTTTGTCATTAACTGTTTGTTAAAATAATAATAATAAATATTTTATAAAACGTTATAAAGTTCAATAAAAATCCAAATTTAAAAATTTAATTCAATTTTAAATAAAATAAATAAAATTAATTTATAATCAAATCTGTATGGATCCAAAAATAGATTTGAACTCGTCCCCCCCAATTAAACTCTACTTTTCCAATAGACTAGTAGATGTAATACGTTTGACAGAATATCAAACACAATTCGAGGTTTCATTTTACTTGAACTTTATTAAGACTTTTAATAAGAAACACCTATATAAACACTCGTACTATCAATTTCGACTTTCTTAAGAAAATAAAGAAAGTTGTTTGATGATGCCTCTACTCTAAGCCCAAACAATTTAAATGTCAGGTGCGAATGATTAAGGAAATAGTAGACTGCTTTTCACCCGTTTTCCCAACTTTCTCAGACGATTCATATCATCAACCGCCCAAGTTATGGTCAACAATTCAGATGGCGCATGTCGAGAGCGCTGATCGTACAACTAACACTTCAATCCTCAATTGCAACCCGTTACATTCTCGTGCCTAGATATCTACTAGCAATTTAGCATTGGCAACTATTATTCTGTTTAAAACTTCACTTCAGATTCCTAAAAAATTATGTAGCAGAAAAATAAAAAAACACGTCTTCATGTCATCTTCTAATTATTATCTGGGCAATTAGCTAGGATATGGATGTGCATGTTCAGGGTTTCATGAGATAAGATTCACAAGTCACAAACTAATAGAATTAATAAAATTGAAATTTTATATATCATCTTATGACCTAACATCTTGGGATCTAACATTAGGATGAGATTGTCGAATAAATCAGATCGTTAAAAAAATTTAAAAGTAATCCGCAACAATAACAAGCATAAGATAAAAGTTTTTCGATTCGCACACGGACAACATTGTTTTCGGCTAAATTTAAGATAAGATGAACATAAACTAGTTAAAACCAACAAAATGTATCAAAATATCAAAGAGGATAGACCAGTAGCACTAACACTGGGTGTCCCATTTGACAACATAAATAGCTGTAAAATAACATCAGAAACTAGGATAAACGCACTACTTGGATCTCTGCCTCATCTTTCGGCGCTTCCTCTTCAATCTCCTCATACGCTTCTTCTTCCACTGCAAAAGTCAGTAACAATCAGAAACCAAAACTAATAATAAAACCACAAACCACAATAGGCAAGGAAAACGAACAAAACATGTGACGAATAGAACTCACCTTGGCTCTCATGGTGAACAGAACACGCTACCCTTCTCCGATTCAGAACCCTAGTCGATGGCCGCAGAAAAAGATAAGTCACAGGGTTTGGAACATACGAAAAGATGGTTGCAACAATTTATAGCCACGAGAAACCCTAGCAAATTGCGAGCAAGTATTGGGCTTTAACCACAAGGCCCATCTTGGTTCAGTCATGAGCACATGGGCTTCGATTGCTAAACAATTAGGATGGCCCGTTATATTTCTGTTTAGAGGTAACTGAGAAGCATGTGTATAATGCATACCAATCCTAGCAGAGAATGGGTCAGACAGCAAAACAAGTTTTACAATTTAATTTGTTTCGTTTTACTCCAAATTAAATCCCCTATTAGAGTTAAGTTTGTCTTATTAAGCACAACTTTTGAAAAAACTTATTTAACTTATTAAAGTTATCTATTTATTTATTTGAATTTTTAAGATATATAATTAAACACTACTAGTACATATCTTATTGATAAATTTATATAGCATATTAGTTTTATACTAAATACTTTTGTTAAATGTTATGATAATGAAAAAAATCTGAACTTCCAACTTATAGAGATATATCGTGTTTGTATCCAATTTATAGACAATTATTATATAATTTTTAAGTTTAAAGTTGTTTCAAATAAAAATTTCTTATGTATGTGTTCTTAGATCTTAAATTTTGAAACAAAGAGAAACGTAAGCAGAAATTAAAAATTCTAAAAATTAACTTGTTCGAAAGGTTTTTATTCTAAAAATTATCTTTGTTATATTTTTCAAAAAAAATCATTAGGCCTATTTTTTCATTTAAAATTAATTGAGTCAAATTCTACCTATGAATCGATTCAAGTGAATGCTACTAGTTCGACCAAAAGGAAAAACGAAATGCCACTAGTTGATGATTAATGTGTTAAACAGTGCCATGTTATTTTCTGGCAACACTATAAAAATATTAGCTTTTTTTAGTGACTTATGACCAAAAATGTAGATTAGGGAAAGGTTTTTCCTCAAATAAAGTTAGCAAACTACTAATTTTAACACTATATTATGGTTGGATTGTGCATCGCATAACAATGAGTTTCTCCAACATTGAACTCAGAAGTTCAGCTATGCAAGGATAGAAGGGTGACCAAGTGACGAACTCTCAGCATATCCGCATACATGAACTGTGATTTTAATGCATTATTATATAAATTTTATTGAACTTAAGTTTTACCAGCCAACCAAGCTACAGTATATTATTCGTTGATTTATTTATTGTTATATCTGATGGTTTAAAATTAATGACTTATGATGGACCACTTTTGAAGTTGTCCATGTTATACGCACCCAATAACGGTAAAGTTACAATTATTGTTCGTTTCCGTAGATAATAAGATATATTATTATTAGTCAAATTAATGGTTTATAAAATTGTCATTTTTTTAATCGTGATACCAATATTGCCATTAAGAAAGAAGGTAATACAATTGACTATCGTTAAATAAGGATTTGTCTAGACTTTCACCCGAATCTAAAATGACGTTGAAAACTTAAACCCGGATTAATTAACTAAAATCTTTGGACTGTGAACTAATTGAAACAATATTTGTAATTGAATATTATTCAGTTCAACAAAAGGTTAATTAAAAGTTCAAAATACAAATTCAATTAATGAAACTATGATTTGAGTTTTCACTTGTTTAACCATCAATCTATTTTTTAAATATCAATCTATCATTTTCTATTTTTATTTAATCTGTAACAATTAACCAACAAAACAGATTTTGTGGCAATAAAAAATTACAACAATTGACAAATAAGACTAAATAAAAAAAACAAAACAAAATAAATAAATATAAGTATTATCTTTGCTAAAATTTACTATTAAACTCCTTACTTGATATAACAATCGTATCAAAATTACCTTTGTTAGAATCACACTTAATACTATTTTTTCTTTTTCGTGTGAACCATTATGTCAAGTGTGTCCATAAATAGGGGCGGCACTTTCGCAACAATGTGATAACGTTTGCTACCCAAAAAATAGAGTACCATGTATAATTCTTTCATAATTCTAATTTTTTTAATAAACATTTTCCTTTCATTTTATAGCACTTTTTCCTGAATTTTAAATTTATTATAAAATTCGTTATATTAAAATTAAAAGCCCTGAACATGTTTATCTCGAAAACTTTAAACATGTATTTTCAAACTCAGCAGCAGACACAGCTGAAAGAGAATACGAGCTTAATCCAAGTGATGAACCAATTGAGAGTGAGTAAGAGGAGTACGGGTCGGAGCAGAGTCGTCCGTTTTTAAAATAACTATTTTTGGGTCCCAATTTATTGAAAAATCTATCTTTATCTGTTTCAGCAATGATAATACTCACAAGTTACGAAAAGTTCTTCAGATATTTTCTAATTTTTTAAAATATTTTTATCCTATTAACTATTTTATCACCTTTTTAAAAAAATTCTAAATAAAAAATTAGATTTTATTGTAAAAGAATCATGTACGTGTAGAATTAGGTTTTTTAAGATGATATTTAAAAATAATATATACTAAAATATTAAAATTAAAAAATTATATAAAAAATAAGGTTCAAAAATCACAATTTTTAAGTATAAAGGTATAAATTTAAAAATACAACGGCAAAACAATTAAACAAATAAAATATTAAAAATATCATTATTTGTTTAAAAATATATTAAAAATTTAATGTACAAAAAAATATATTTAATTTATTAAAAAATTAAATACCAAAAATTGTTAATAAGATATTTACATTAAAATTGATCGGCACATTTAAAAAATTACCAATGGTAATTTTTGAAAATTTCTTATGTAATTTTTTCTTAGGATTTATTGTTTTTTTGTTTCCAAAATATCCCATGTAAAAGAAAAGCGCCGCAGAATTATCCTTATCTGTTTGCATAGCATAAACAGGATTATCTGTCTCGGTAGACCCAACCAGAAGGGCACTATTTTACATCTCAAACAAATGGGGGCTTAGTGGAAATTGAGTGACCCTTTTGCAGCTGGGTCTTCCACTTTTCCATCATCCAACGTGGGAACAAAACTCACTCATAAAATAAAAATAAAAGAATTTAAATCCACTTTCTTGGACCTTTGTCACATGTAAGGGAATTTCTTGGGCACCCTCTTTCTTTTGGCACCTTTCAACGAATTATCAAATATTAAAACCACAGCCAATAATTTACACTAAACATTTAAAACAAAATAATTTTAAATGTATTCACTGTTTATCTAATTTTTATATTCCAATGACATATTAAGTCTTAATAATTTAAATCAAAAATAAAAATATGTTACGCTTTGTATAAACAAATTTAACCTGATTTTTGTAGAAATCTGTTTTGATAAATTAGTCTTTTTAATAGCTTATAAATTATAAGTTATTAAACTATTTAAATAAATATATCTTTACAAATATCATAAAAATTATAAAAATAGTTTAACACTTTAAATATATACAATAAAATAAAAATAAAAATATATTTTTATTTTATTAAAATATATAATCAAACTAATACAAATACAAGTTAACTTTGTGTGTAGATCAACACAAATAACAATAACATAAAAAAGAATATAGATTTTTTTCAAAAAAATAAATCTTCTTCAGCTCCAACAAAAAAAAAGGGATGATTTAAGATTTTTTTATTTTAAAATTTAACTTATTTAATATAATATTATATTATAATTTTAATATAAAATTATTTAATATATTATTATAAATTTTAGATAAGTAATTTTAATAAACTTTAAAAAAAATTCTTAAACTTAAATCTAACTTATTTATTTAATTAATATTTTTAAAAAATTTAAATTAAATTTATTGTTTAAATAGCTCAAGTGAAACTATATCTTAAGAAGTTATGTCATAACAGTCTAGCCTATTTAAATTCCAATTTTTAATTAAATAAACTCATTTAAATAGATAAAATTCTTAGAATGAATTTTTATTTTTTATTCTCTAAACCTCAAATTGAAAATGCTAAAATAAAACAAAATTCCTTTTTACTTGATCTTGAGAACTTATAGTTAAGGAAGAGGTAAAGTTTGCTTTTGAATTTGATTTCTGCATTATTCGATTCAAAAGAAAAAAAAAAGGCAAAGCAAAAAATTTAATAAAAGGAAGGAAAAATATAATAGAGAAGGGAAAATTTATTTGATTCATAAGAAAAAACTAATAGTATATACTTAAAATAATAAAATGAAATTATTAAATTAAGAAAGATTTACTCGATTCATTTATTTTTCTCCTCCAATTCATCATATAATCAGTAAATTAAATTTAATTAACAATGAATTTTAAGGTCTTCCTGTCCCTTTCATTTCCCTCCACCGTCTAAATACCAAGTTAAGGATATAAAGAGAAAAGAAGGAATTTTTTTTTCTAAAAATTACAATTAATTTAAAATTATAAAAAATGGAAGAAAATCCAATCGCAGAATTTTTTTTTTTTCACAAAATTTGACATCGAAATGCAGAAAGAGTTTAATCTCCTTCTCATCCCTTCATTTATCCTTTAAAACTCCTTTTTCAATCCATTCCAACTTTACGAACAAAACTTTAAGGCCAATAGTTTTTAATTATATATTCATCTCCGCTGTTTATTAAAATAAAATTACTTAATCGCGGCAATTTTCTCATCATCGTTTGCAAACTGCCCATGCCTGTAACAATCCTTTCTGAACACGATTTACATTACTCAAAGCGAGTGAATTACTATTACTAATTTACTGTTGAAGTTACGAATCAATTAAAACTCAAAAAACAAGGAGGAAAAAAGAAAAAAGAGGATCAAAGTGGGACACTATGTCTAATTGGTGGTTCTTGGATCAAAACCCTGGGAAACGAAGAATCGAACTTAAGGGAAGCTCTACAAAGAGGACAATTGGAGTGATTCACGAGCCACTTGTCGACGCACTCGCAATGAAAACTATGGTCACATCCCGGCAAAACCTTCAACTTCTCACCGTCAACGAACGCGCTGAGGCAGATGCAGCACTCCGTTTCCTCCAATGCGCGATTCGGACTCGGCGGCGCCTGGTGGAGGATGATCGGGAGTTTCTTGATCGCGTCGGGGTCGAGTCCCTGTGGCGGCGACGGCGGCGGCGCGTGGCGTGGCTGGATTGAGTGGAAGGTGGTGATTGGGAGAAGGCCGTGGCGGCGGCAGATCCGGCGAGCGAAGAGAAAGAGAGCGGTGAAAAGGAGGATAATGGAGAAGAGAACGATGATGAAGAAGAGTTTGCGGCCATGGATTTCGAGGGTTTCGTCGTTGAGCTCCGCGTCGTAGTGCCAACTGAATGGCGGAGCGTCCTGGTTCGACATCGTGAATTAGATTGCCCTGTGATGAGGTAAACGACGACGGTGGCGGAGCAATACGACGGCGTTTTGAATCGCCGTACAGTAGTGTGGAGTGAAGTGTGCAATGGGCAGGGCTTTTTGAGTGGGTGGTGTTGCTATGACTAGTAGGAGTGCATACTTGAAATGACGATCCAACATTATTTATAGTTACGTTTAGTAATTAGGTATAGTCCCAGCCTCGTAGGCCAATTAATGGTCGAAATTTTATTTTAGATGTAGCATTGATCCCAATGGTGGAACCTATCCACTTTTTAGTTTTGGGGTTTTTAATGTACTAAATTTTAAAACAATGTCTATTTATTTAAAGTGAAGTTGAACTAATTTTTAGTTTATTTTTTAGATTTTTTTCCTTGATTTATAAATTACAAATTACTTCAATTTTTTATCTATAATTTTGAATTATTTAACTTTTATCGTTTTAAAAGATTTACTTATCATTCTTGTCATCTTTATTGCTATTTAATAATTTTTAAGATTTATTTTTTTATTTGTACCTTAATGAATGAATATTGATGAATTTAAATTTAACTAGTTATCTTTTTTTTTTTAATGTATATCTTTTTATTTACAAGACCTTTCCTGAGAAAGAAAAATATATGTATTTTGTAGACTCATTTAATAAGCGAATTGTATTTTTCACTTATAATGGAAGGTCCAATGAATAGGGAGGGGTTTAATTCTTTTCTTTTTCTCTGAACATTACCTAATAGTCACTTTTTAATTTTTATTGAAAATAAATAAAATGGTAAAAACCATAAATAAAAATATTTTAATTAAAATATGATAATATACTGCACCAGTTAAAACAATCTTAATTTATATGTAAAAGTTTTAAACAAAAAATTATAAAAACATAAAGAAAATAATAATGTTATATAAATCAATTATTATTTTTATTATTATTGCTATTATTTTTATTTATAATTATTATCATTATTAATATTATTGCTATTGTGTATTCATAATTAACTCACAATTGTTATTATTAGTTGTGAATAACTGTACTGTTTAAACTAGTCTCTAAATTGTGCAGTTAAATCTAAGAAAAATATTAATATCAATGAATAAAGATAAATAATTAAGAAATTAACATATTATTAATAAATAAATTCGTTATATTAAAAAATAACAAAATTATAAATTCAAAAATTATTTTTTTGATATATATTTAAGAAAATATAATAAAATTAAATAAATAGTATATTTTATTTGAAATTGCGTCATTTTATTTTTTTAAATATTAATATTTTATTAAGAATAAATTTAAAATACAAGAGATATATTTTAACTATTATAATTCAAAAAGAAATTAACAATACATGATAAGATATCATTAATTTAATATATATATATATATATATATATATATAATCAATTTTCTTAAAGGTCCTACTACAGGTCATTTATAAGAATGATACTTTATAGAATAAAATATTTCACTAACATTTAACATGATATCATTAAAAAGAATATTATTCTGCTAAAATTAAATTGTTCATACTATCACAAAATATATCATTATAATTTTTCTTCATTTCTTTTTTCCACATTAGATTTTGCACATGCTTAGTAATATCTTGTACAAGTTTTTAAATAAGCAAAAACTGATACCAAACCGTTCAAACATAATATACTACATTTTTATGTAGACACCGCAGTACACAAAAAATGCAATATATTCTCATATTAGTATCATATAACCCACAAACTTATGAGAAAATCATCAACATACCTTTAATCGAATTATTATTAGAAAATTGTGTCATTTAATGTTATTGATGTGTTAAAACTTGTAAAATTTAATGACATGCAAAAATATATTAAAAATAAATTTTAATTGTTGATTTAAAAATAAAATAAATAAAGGTTCTAAATTTACGATAAATTCAAATAGGCATTTAGTAATTCAAAATGTATATGTCAATCATGAAAAACGAAAATTAAATACGTTCTCAACCAATCGAGTTAAATTCTTTTCTTTTTAAAAAGTATAAAAAGATTAATGAAGTAGAACATGCTCAACTTAATTTTCAATTTAAAAATATAGAATATTTTTACAACATGGAAAATATTAAAAGAAGAATTCGAAGATTATACGTGAAAGTTGAAAGAAAATAAATTTTGTAAAGAAAGCGAAAATGATAATTACCAAAATATTTTTTTAAATTTATTAAACTTAACGTGCCTTTAATTGATATTTATTTAAAATTTATAAAAGTAGCATTTAAAATAAAAGTTTGAAAGATCAAAACATGTAAAATTTTTAAAAATACAAATGGAATTAGAAAATTAAGAAAAACAAAAGAAGCAATTAAATGAACAATGTTACAAATGTTTTAAAAGTAAATAGATAAACTTTTAAAATTAACAAATAAATTATAAAAAATATTAAAAATTAAAAAAATTAATGTAAGAGAAATCATAACATGTAATAATTAAAAAAAAAACTCTTAAAAATGTTATTTTAACAATAATTCACCAGAGGTAGATACACCAAACAAATGCATCAAAACAAAACAAATAATGTGAGGTTTATTCCTTGAAAAATTAAGGAAAAATAATTAAAATATACATTTAGCTGCTAAGATTTAAACTTATTTATAATTTAATTTCTATACATAAAGAATGACGTTTTAGTCTCAGTATCAATATATTTATGTGCATGTCCATGCCGTTATGATATTATTAAAAAAGTATAACTCAGTGAATATTACTTTTTATCATCAGTATTATAAAGTTAGATACTAAAACAGAAATACACGGATAAAATATATATATATATATATATATATATATATATATATATATATTTTAAACACAACAACTAATTTGTAAAATTTTGAAATAAAATATGTATTTCAATGCAAAAAGCACTGCCGGACATTGTTGTACTTGTTGGATTTTTTGACGTAGTACCTGTTCGATCAATACTATTATTCAGATTACTGAAGATTAAAATTGTGTATAATATTGTTAATTTTATCTTTTCATACACACATCTTATAAATACACTAGATATATTTAAAGAAATTTCCTTTTAATACCATAAACAACGTGTTTCTTCTTGGATAATTACTTGCTCTTTTTTGGTCAACGATTATTCCTTGGTCTTTGTATATTGATTAGTGAAGGGACAGGTTGCGTTCAATATGCGGCCGGCTCGACAGTTCTTGGGTATGGAGTTCTATAAAACGGGGGAGTAATAACTCCTAACCAATAAATAACTATCACACTCTTCCCCTCCAACTGTTAATAGCCAGTTGCATGTGCTAAAAGAAAATCTTCAACTTTATCTGAATCGAAATAGAAAATGACGTTCGAGTTTAGATAAGATTAACATGTTCGATTTACGCGTTTAAATTGGACGGTGAAAATTCTTGTCGTTCGCAATTTCGTTGTGTTTAACTAATCAAAGATTATTGGGAGGGTAATTTTATTTTAACTTGGGTCAACCGTCGTCCAAAGTTGAACCATTTCTATATATGCATGTACCGTACGAGATTTCGGTCCATTAGGACTTGGTCATTAACAGCGTGGGTGGCTTATCCATAACAATGTCGGATATGCAATGCAACCATTTTACTGGATGAATTCGTACTCGCCAATGGATCTAGTGTTACGTCCTGCATTCAACTTTTTTTGTCTTACACGCAATTTTAGGCTTAGAGGGATGAATTTAATAGTACTATATACTAGATTTGCGTAATACCTTAGCTGATACTATTGTCTACGATGGAAAAGCTCCTCAGTGACTGACACAGACATTTTCAATATGGGAATCATATATTCCTTTATACTTTTTCTTATAACATCATAACCGATGGATAAAAATGTATTCAATATTATAAAATTGCAAAGGTTTTTAATATTTTTCATTTATAGCTTAATATTAGCACATCAAATATTATAATCAGAGAGGATTATGATTCAGTGTTGTTCTTAGAACAGAAAATACACAAACATATAATAAAGCTTTTGTATCCTCTTGAAACCATGATAATTTTAATATTAATTAAAAATTAATATATTTAATGTTTTTAAAATATAAAATTTTTTCAATGTCTCTTTTACTTAGTAATTAAGAGAATTGTTACAATAAAATATATGATACTTCAGAATTAATTTAAAAAAAAAACTTTTGACTTTGATTGAGCATGAAAGGATGGAGTAAGAAGACAAAAGATAATTGAATAAAATAATTACTTATCTGGCCAAAAAACAAATAAAAAGAAAATAATGACTAAAATCATGTTTTATGTGGTTTCAACAGTCGTACATGTATTTTGCTATTTTCGTTTTAAAATAATTATTATTTAAAATTCAATAAAAGAATAAATCATTAAACATTTCTGTTTGAAAAATATGTTTTTTTTTTTAATTTACATGAACTTTCGTATTGCTACCCTTCTGTTGTTTCATTTATTGGATATATAATAAAACAAGAACAAAGTTGGAAAAATTACAATTTTTTTTATTTTTAAAAGAAATTCCATGAAATCGGGGAATTTAAGCAATCAAATAAGATGTCATATTTGACTGAATAACATAAATTAGATTTAATGAGTGGCCCAAAGTGTAATTAAAAGGTTCAAGTCGTGTTAGTTTCACGCTCAGTTGATTTACGTTATTGTATGAAAATTGTGGAATTTCCATAATTAATTGAGTTGAGATATTTGACTGAACACCGTAAATTTTAGATTGCGTGGAATAACCGGCGCAAATTTTATTTTAAAAAGTCATTATTTAGATTAGAATGACTTGTGTGTCGAACAACTTGTTTAACTGAGATATTTTCTATTGATACATGGCAATCAGATATTTTAAAACGATGTATGCAGTTTAATTTGATGTTAAACTGCATATTGATCCACAATTCATTATTAAAATCCATTAATTAATATCTGTTATGAATGCATGAATTTGGCGATTTCAAGAAGGGAAAAAACAAAACTGAATGGTATCAC